TGAAGTAATTTTTATTCATAAAATGATTTAGAACAGTAAAAGTTGAATTTGTGAAATAGTTCTGGGCATCATAGGTATACAAGTATTTAGCTCTGTATTTTATTGGTGGTGTTTATATAATCTCTTACATTACACATTTTCAGAAGTTTTGGATGGAAAAATGAGCTCCCCCTTTAGCTAATATTAGGAGCTATATTTTAATATAAAGCAGGAAGGAGATGCCATTATGAGCTCAGTCTTTTGAAGGGAATAGCATGATGAGCAGAGATATGCTAAGTTGAGGAGGTAGTTGGAAAAGTGGCTATAAAAATGGCATTGTAGGTTAGTTTATTGTAGAGGGCGCTGGTAGTGATGCCTGTTGTTATAGTTAAAGTTGCCTAACACTTCCGATTATAAGGGTATGTCTACACTACGGGATTAATCCGAATTTAGATAATTCGAATTTGGGAAACAGGTTGTATAAATTCGATTGTGCGCGGCCACACTAAGCACATTAATTCGGTTTTTAACCACATTAATTCGGTGGTGTGCGGCCACACTACCCCATTTATTTTAACCACATTAATTCGGTGGTGTGCGGCCACACTAACCCTAATTCGAATTAACAAAATCGATTTTGGCGCTACTCCGCTCGTCGAGGTGGAGTACAGAAATCGATTTAAAGCACCCTTTAATTCGAACTAAATGGCTCTGTAGTGTGGACGGGTGAAGGGTTAATTCGAATTAACGTTGCTAAATCCGAATTAATCCCGTAGTGTAGACCAGGCCAAAGACACTGTTTTCAGTTGCTTATAACTTTGCCAAACTTTACTTATTCAGGCTGAACTTTCCATGCCTGATGTCTGCTTCAGGCTGAATATTTTTTGAAAGTTTCAGCAAGATCAGTTCTGCCATTTCTAAGAATAAAATTATGAAAAATACTTTGCTTTGTCTGTGTTAGAAAATTCTTACACCATTTCGTTATGAAGCTCTAGCACCTCCAAGCTTTGCAGCACTGACTTGGAATCGGGCAGAGAGCTGATCCTAGTGTCAGGCATGTGCCTTTTGCCATTCTTGTGAAAATCTGCCAACGTTTGGACAAACAATAAGCCTCTTAAAAAATCATAGTTTGCACATGCTCAGTAGAGGTTAGTTAGTTTGACAGCAAAATTCTCGGAAGATTCTGTCTGCACTGAATGTGCTCTATCCCCACATAGTTCCATTGTGTCAACTAGACCGTTCGTACGCTATCCCACAGAGCGACTGAACATGATCCATCCTCGCACAATGGGGTGGGCATAGGACTGAGACTGGAGCTGAGGGAACAAGAGGTGAAAGATATGTAGCTACTAAACACACTTCTTCCGGAACGTCACATTGGACCCAGGATTCCCGAGATTCAACATTCCTCTGCTGTCAGTAAATAGATGGTAAACCGACTGGGAAAACGTCTTCTTGAGTGATTAACTGATATAGTGGATGACATCCTACTATGCATATCAGTTATTATGGTAGCTCAAGTAGAGGAGGTCTGTGCAGTAGGTCTAAAGGTTCCAGTTCTGCTGATAACTATATTGACCCCCATATAGGTCATGATGGATTATTTTTTTACTTTGCTTTTTAAAAAGTAGGAAATTGCATGTAAAAATAAAACAGTATAGTAAAATAATGTTAATGTTGCAAAGTTAAGCGCTCAAAAATTAGGAAAGTTAGGAACTGCTCTGGATATGAATCAGGGTTGTGTAGTGAATGAGGTGATTGTCTGCGTGACCCCTGCCTCATTTGTTGTGGAAGTTGGAAGGTGTGCATTGAATGAGGCAGGTTACTGCAGGAAGAGAAAGGAGCCATCTCATGATTCAAGTAGCTGAGTGCCACTTTGGAGAACTGAGTTCTCTGTCTGCCTCTGCCACAGAGTTCCTGTGGGATGCTGGGCATTGCCAAGCCATGCAGCATTCCATGTACATGAGGAGAGGGAAGTAAACCCACTGTTCCTTGGCTCACAGATCAGATTAAGATCTCTTCTTCCACACTGGCTGCTGCTTATATTTTTGTGCACTTCTCCACTGAGCATTGCTTCATACCCCTTTCATACAGAGGCAAGTATCATTCCCCCCAATTTACATATAAGTTAAGAGAGGTTGAACAAGGTCACTTCTGGTGAAACTGGGACTAGAACCCAAGTCTCTACTATGACAGGCCCAAGTCTTGCCTACTTTGTCATACTGCCTCTTCTACAGAATGTTGCAAATCTGTGTACTTACAACTACTTTTCTAACTTCTAGGTACACTTCCTTCACAGAGGTAGGAATAGAATGCAAAAATCCTGATCTCCAGCATTCTAGTGCTGCTTGTCAGTGGGTTACACAACAATTTGCTGAAGTGTCACAACCTCCCCAAAGGGCCTGGTCCAAATAGAGAAATAACACTTCTTTAGCTCAAGTGTTAGATTGTCTGTGCTGGGAATTGCACGGTTCAGAAATTAAACCTTAATGCTGACCTGGGGAGGGTGAGAGTTGGGGAGGGTTTCTTCTGTTTGCACATGATGGAATTTCTTCCCCTTCCCCATTTTTCTCTTTGAATAACTAGCTTATTTAATTCACAGTGAGAAAACATCCTTAGACACTTTTATGGTTTAAAAAAACATCCTATGTGATAACTGTGTTGCAACAAAACATAGGTGATCCACATTTTGGTGCTTTGTCACTCTGAAAAGTGTGAAGGGTGAGAGTATTAGTAAAATAAGTAGACACAGTATGGTTTTTGAGTTACACAGCAGAGCAAGAGAGTGCTGTTCTTGCAGTCAACCTTCCAGTGTAACTGGACTTTTAAATCCTAGGACTGTGAACAAAGGGAAGCCTGGGCAACTGCCATCCTAAAGGAATATGTAAATAATATGCTAATTTGTACTGGTTTTCATTGTTTGGATTGTAAATATATAGTGTGTTGTTTCAGTGGATAAAAATCTGTGGCAAATGAAATACAGGATGGGGTATGCAGTATTGGTATTAGCAGCCTAAAATGGAAAATATACAGGAGTTAGTTCTGCTATTTGCCTTTCACATTGCAGCTACTAAATAGGATTTAATGGTGAAGAAAGTGCAGTATACACAGTATTTTAGCGAAATATCTGGGGAAGAAATTCATATGCTTTCAAAATGCTTATAAACAAACCTGACACCTCTTCAGACTGTACTCATTGCCATCTTCTGTTGGCTGCAGAAGACTCTTAACAATAAAGTTGGGTGATACAGATTCTGTTGTGAAAGGTTTTAATAAGTACTGACAAGAACTAATGCTCTGCAAAAGTCCATGACTATTACGGAAGGAAAGCTAAAGAGTTTTCTGCTAACATGACCACATTGGATACTAGAGCTACTGAAGTAGACTCTTAAATTAATTAGCAGAAAATCTTCAGTAAATTCAAGCAAAAACTGAAGAGAATAACAGGTTGCATAAAACATGATAAAATCTGATCGTATGATAGAGACTATTGGAATTACTGGAAAATCAAATAAAATGTAGAAATATTAGATTTAAAGATGTGCCAGTGGCCAGAGAAGTGCCAGATCCTCTTGTATTTTGTTAAAATTATGGTTGGTTTATTTCACTTTGACACAGAAAATTATTCTGTATTTGCTGAAAAAGATACAAAATTCCTTCTAGACAGAGGCAGGGAGATCAGTAATGGAGCTATAATTGCAACTTTTGTGGTTTATAAAAAGAGAGAATTTTGAAGGCTGTTAGAATAAAAAAGATACTGCAGTATGAAGATGTGATCTTTGTCCGCATACTGAAAATAGGGGGGTGGGGAGAATTAATTGTGGGTTTGTTTTTTTTAAAGGCAGGACTCTCATGGTGTCCTACAGGTATCTTTCTGGCTTTCAGAAAAGTTGTTACCGGTGGCAATAAATCTTATTTTTGGGGACAGTAAATCTGGTGCAGCCGGGCTGGAGTGGGGGGAATATATGCTTTGGAGAAGGATTGTATTTGAAAATTGACACTCGAGTATTGTTTCTCTCTCTCTTTTTTCCCCCTTTTTGTAAGATTGTGGGCACGTTATGTTGCATTGGCATGTCACAGGATTCTTTATAATGTTGTTCTACTGCATTTCAAAATTTAGGCACTAATCCTGCAGTTATTTCTGTAGCAGTGCATCCCTGCGTTATCAGTGTCTGACTAGAGGACTTAGTGCAGCAAATGTGTTGATCAAGACTGCATTGAGTAGCATGAGGTGCACGGCTATGTCCATTAAAGTAAATGATGCTCCTCAAAAGCACAGCAGTCTGTCCACGTGCTACATAGAGCATATTAGGGGCCTCGGTCTCTTTTTTTTTTAGATTATCTTTTCGTAGCTTTTGAACTGTTGATATTTCCAGGGACACTGATGATGTTTTCAGGTGCAAGGTATTGCCTCCATTTAAAAAAAGATTCTGCATCTCGCACCCTAAGAATCTGCTCATTTTCAAAACAATGACTGTAGTGTAGTTAAAATAACTTTTCTGAATGTCTGCTGAAAGCCAAACCCTGGTCACTGGCTTTCTCCAAACAGTCATGAATGTGGTACCCAGAATGACTGTATGATTTGCACTTTGCTTAGCTGTGCCTGTCTGTATCATTTGTATCTCCAGGTAGGATAGTAAATGGTAATATAAACCCTGCTGTTTGTGAGCCTTTTAAGTTGGAGGTGAATAAATGAGGTGATTTAGTTACTATGGCAACAGGTGCCTTAAAATATATATTACTCTGTTGGCTTCACTGCGTTTACACCAAAATGAGTTTGCCCTGTGAAGTCGTATCAAATTCTTGGTTCAAATAGTTTGCAGCACTAGGGTCACATACTGTAAAGAGACCTTCACTGGTATAAGGCTCTGCCCATGAATATCCATTGCAGCACTGGGGCCTATTTTTTATCGCTATGTCCCTCTCCAATTTTTATTTTATTTTTATTTATTATTTTTTTTGAAACTGCAACTAGAAAAATGCTTTTATAATACAGTATATATACTTTTCACCTTTAACAGAAATCTGGTTAAGAAGTACTGTCCCAAACGTTCATCAAAAGATGAAGAGCCCAGGTAAAGTATATGTATTTAAAGTTTTACATATATAAATAGCAAATACCACTGTATATTGTTTAATCTTTAATGGAACTTTTTCTGTGTAATATTTTTGACGGATAAATTAGCAAATGTATGAAATCAGGACCTCCTCTGTTTGGGTTCTTGTTCCATTACAATTAAATATTACACTTTACTGTTCCCACTATTGATGTCTTAAAGTGATGATAGTGTGGTAATTTGTATTAGCAGCTTTCCAAATTAAACTTCATTTAGCATAAGAGTTTGAAAGTGAAGTTTTAGTGCAATATATATATCTGGCATTACTTTTATAGGATTGGGAATAATTTGGCCATAATGTGTGTGTTTCTTTTTCTTACAATTTTTATTAACCTTTTGAGAATCCTGGGAACGTGTTACCAGTGCAGCTCTGCAGACTAGGGTTTTGATTGTGTGCTGAATTGTCATTTATTTTTGGCTAGTGAAACTCAAGTGTGTTACTCTGGCAACTTGCTTTGCCTCTGAGAAGCAAAGTAGATTTGGATGACCATTTGTGGTAGTAACACTGCATGTTAAGCAACTCCATTGTCAGTAGTGTAAAGATGCATCTACACTGCAGTGGGGAGATGTGATTCCCAGTTCAGGTAGACGTACACGCTTGAGCTAGCATGCTAAAAAATAGCAGCGTGGCTGCGGTGGCACAGCTGGCATCTTGTGCTAGCTGCCTACGTATGTATGTAAGATCTCCCATGGAGTTGTCCTTTGGAGGCTGGCCTGAGCCACCACCAATGCTGCCATTTTTAGCACACTAGTTCCAGCAGAGCTAGCACATGTAAGCCTACAATCACTCCCAACTACAGTGTAGACATAGCCTAAGAGAAGTGCTTGTTTTGCTATCCTTGTCATTGATGATTTTTGATGTCTGATTAAAACACAGTGCTAGTTTTTAAAGTATAAATAATTGGACTATGAATGAAAGAATGGTGAAAACCTAAGGATATCATGTGGGATGGATTTCACGTTGCAGCCAGGGAAGTGCTATGCAGAAATGCCTTGGGGAACCCCACCAGAAACACCTCAAGTTCTATTCAAACCCACCTCAAAGAAATCTGGACTGCAGGAGTCAGGATTTCCAACTCCACAATGGAATTCAGGCCCTGCCAGCTTTAAAAAGATGGCAATATTCCATAATTAAAGAGAGATGCATATTTTAATATGGTGACTGTTTTTGTTTCTTTCCTCCCTTCCACACACACTTTCTACCCTTATTTTTGCCCCTCCCCCTTTTTAGTGCCAGCCATAGTGGCACCTTACCTCCAGCCAAGAGGTGGGCAGGCAAACAGGCAGCTGTCTCCAGAGCTGATAGCAAACTTGTTCTGTAGATCATCCATCGGGATGCATATGAGTGGTATGATTGGCATGTTCCACCCTCAAGACCAAGCACATCATCTCTGCAACAAGTTCAGCCTCCGAGCCTAGGGACCTAAGTCCGTTCCCAAGCTCAGGCCTCTCAGTTGGCAGCTTAGGAGATACCACTATACTGCAGGGCCTTCCAGGTAGTATTCTTATTCTTTCTTTTCCACTCCCCAAAATCCATGTTCTTATAAACTGTGTATGAAGAGACATTAGAATGTGGTACGTCTTAGGCCCAACATAGGCTTTCCCCACTGTGCATTTTCACTGTAGTTCAACATTAGTCTAAGGCTTATTTTACAGTGTATCTAATTTTAACACACTCTATGTTCTCTTAATGGCTAAATAAAGAAATCCTTAGTGAAAGTAAAAATCAATTTCACCTTGTGTTTTTAATGTGTATTTTGTCAGGTTTACATCATGTCTAGCCTTTTTTAACATCCTTAATGAGTTAAATGACTATGCAGGACAACGAGAAGTAGTAGCAGAAGAAATGGGACACAGAGTGTATGGAGAACTAATGAGATATTCTCATGATCTAAAAACAGAAAGAAAAATGGTAATTCCTATATTCTTATGCAACAATAGTGTATAAAATGACTGTTTTCATTCAAAGAATCTGTATATTTATTTGTCCAGTCAGTAGTATAAATGTGACAGTAGTTTCAATTATAAGTTTTATGTGCAACTTAATATAACATCAGAGTAGCTCTCTTTAATACATAGTTACTTGTTATGATGTTCAAAATACAAATATAGAATAGTACCCATTAATAACTTTTGAGTACAAAAATAACCTTGGTCTATAGTGCTGTTCTTGCATGGATGGTAATATCTCCAATAAAATACCTTGCTAAATTAGTAAGCAATTGACAAAGCATACTGAATGTAAACTAGAACAGAAACCAGTAATGTTAACAGTATCTGAGATTTGTGAAAATGTCTTATTTATGCCCTTACAGCATCTTCAAGAGGGGCGAAAAGCTCAGCAGTATCTTGACATGTGCTGGAAACAGATGGATAATGTGAGTTTTTCTGTTAATATTAGTAGCGGACAGTTCTGCACAACTGTTGCCATTACGTTTGCTTTTGTGTTTTTGATCAGTCTGTGTTTAGTGTTTAGCTGTATCACTGAATGATCACATTAGATTTATTGTTCAGTAGCCAAGACAGAATACAATGTACTTATAGTTCATTACTTAATTCATTTCTCTGTAAGTTGTTGTTCTCTGTCGGAATTACCCTTTTAGGGTATTTGGGGTAATGTGACGTAGAGAAGTAGCTTTCAAATATATTAGAATTTTCTTGAAAATAACACTCAATCCTATACCCCAGAGGCATCTACTAGCAATCCTTCAGCCTAGCAATCCTTCAGCTATCAGTCCCTTTTCTCCTAGCCTGCTCTCATTGTAACTACCTACAGTTTATCTAAGAAGTAGCTTATTTTGCGGAGCAGTGTCACTAGTTATGTTCATCTTTTCACATTTTTATAGATTTCCTGCTGCCTCCTTAGTAGTTGTAGTAGATTTTCTTAAGTTTCTGTTCTTACTAATTAACCTCAAATTAACCCAACTGTGTTTAAAGACTTGAAGGTATGTAGCATTTATTTATGCATCATTTAGGAAATCAAAGCTTTAAGTCTGTCATCAGCACTGTACTTGATCAAGATGGCTTGTAACAAAACGTTTATTCGAGAATGCCACTATAACTAATGTGTATTGTATAGTCCTTTTTTGTTTATTTCACTTTCAGTCAGTATAAACTCAGTTTAATAGAGGAATACAGGCAGAGTACTCCAGGGTTCCATTCTTTGAAAGGCCCAGTTTAAAAGGAGGCAGAACATAAACTCTACTTTCCATGAATCAGTGATACTTTTGAAGTGATATTGACACAGATTCCCCCTGTGCCAATGCACCATCCTTAGAATGTGTTGCATCTTGGTCAGATATCCTGAAACAATGGTGGAGAGATGGAAGATTCATATTTAGGAAGGCAGAGTCAGAAGAATTAAAGAAATTTTTGAAGACACATGCTTTACATAAAGAAGAGAGGATAAGCAATAGGATTTCAAAATACTTCATTTGTAAAGTGTCAAGAGAGGGTAGCAGTTGGTTGCTGAAAATTGTTCCAAAAGGTTCAACATTCTTTTTTGGAAATCTTGACTATTGTTACTAAATTTTTGGAAAGGAAGGTGCTAATCAGGAGGAAAATTACAAAAACATTTGCACTTCTGAAACATTTCCATTGAACCAGTGCCAAACGGAAGGAAGGAAGAGAGAAGGGAAATCATTAAATCATTTTAAGGTGAACTAATTTTAGAACAGAAGTGAAAACTGAATTAATCCCAGATTTCTATGCTGAGTGGTCCCCATTTACCAGACTGAGGGACATGCAGTGCAGAAATAAAATTTTAATTGACCTTTTTTTCCCCCTTCTCCGTGAAATCCACAGGGCACTGCTCAGTTCACTGAAGATGGTTATTTAAAACTTATTTCTGTGCTGAATGCCCCTCCACTGATGGGTAAATTGGAGAGACTGTTTGTCTCAGTTTTAATTTTTAGCTTTCCAGTTCATCTTTGAAACTTCAGTATTACAAACACTAACTTCCCTCTGAATGTCAGAATAAATTAGAATTACATATCACTGCACAGGAAAAATCTTGGTGATTTTTCTGGAGTCAATCATCTGTCTTGGAAATAAAGGTGACTGAAACTGAAGAATTCTCAATATCTGCAGAGGAATATATTTCAATCACTATGGAAAACAGCGTTACCGGTCCTGAAAAACACCATTCAGGCAGATGCTAGCACTTCATGTGCTCACATACTTTCATCATTTATTGGTGTGTATGTATCTTCCTTTAATGTATTGTTTCAAGTCCCATCTAATTCCGGCTTAAAAATGAGGAATTAATAGGGCTTTGGTAAACCTGATGGGTAACAGCCTTTTCTCACCCTGGATGTTTAATAATGGGGCATAAAATAGAGCCATCAGGTGTCAACAGTCAGAGACCACTTTACAGTAAATGTGTTGAGAATTGCAGTCTCAGTAGGTTGGCAATACTGACAGTGCACTTCTCTGTGAGATACTCTCAAAATATATGAAGATACGTTGTCTCTGGCTACAGAGTCTCACAACAAACCTCTGAAGGCTTAATCTATGCTGTGAAATCTTACCATATCTGACAGATTTGTCATCAGTAAGGTTAGCTGATATGATGCCAAGTATGGGTTAGTGTGGTCAGTGTAGACCAGGACGACCATTGTTCAGCATCGTGTCAGAGGGTCTAATAGTGGTTAGCTGAGACATTGCTGAACACTCTTTGTTCTGGTCTCTGCTCACTGCTAAACCGTGCTCAGTGTCTTGTCAATTAACATCATTGTAACAAATTGGTTAAATAAATTTATTTTAAAATTTTACAGATGTCTGGGTCCGGTCCAGATTTGGATTTTCTTCCCCGGTCTCTCCCCTCCTTCCCCCCCCCCAAATCTGAGCTAAAATCTGGACCCAGCTTTTCTTTATAATTAAATTTGTCTCTGTAATTGGGTGTTCATAATTTGGTTGCTTGTATAATATTTTTAAAACCTATTTTGAACATTTCTGTGCTGGCACCCCATTAAGGTAAATGGAGCAAGTTAAAACCCCTGGAGAAAGAGTGGTTTGACTGCAGATCGAACAAGACAGCAGTGCTTTGATTTTCAAAGTGAAGGCTCTTCTCAGCCGAGATTAATGGAAACTTTAAATGGAAGCTTAGATATCTAGGTTTTGAAGTTGCTGTAACTGTCTGTTGGTTTGTCTGCAATATGGTTTTCATGATTTTTATAGAGCAAAAAGAAATTTGAAAGAGAGTGCAGAGAGGCAGAAAAGGCACAGCAAAGCTATGAAAGACTGGACAACGACACCAATGCAACCAAGGCCGATGTTGAGAAGGTAAAACCCATGGCACTTCTTCCTCTCCTCCTTCTTGTTGTTACTATTATTAGAAAATGTTAATTTTTGATGGCTTTATGTTTTGTAGCAATATTTGAACAGCATAATATATCTATTTACATATTTTAGGCAATATCAAAGTAACAGTATAATTCATCTTTTAAAACTTAATGTACAGTGTAATGAGGTAGTGTGTCAGCATATTGACATATTTTAGTCTTTTAATTATTCAAAGGATGATCACAGAGCAAATTACAGGTAATGTCTAAGACAGAAGCTGTAGATGGGGTTATTCGTCTGATGTAATTTGTGGTGTAATGTGCTTAGAATCTAGTTTAATGGATTCTATTGTACTCTTCTGAACCACCTTTAGTCCAATGGCTGCAGAGGAAGTTTTTATGGCAGTTCCTAAATATGACCTGTAGATTGACATTACAAATTTAGTGGCACTCACATTCCTTCCCTTTTTGTTAATTATAGGAAGAAATGTTTGTGCCTCCACAGCTACTGTGACTAATGTTTTTATGTAATTGGTGGGAAAGCTAGTTAAAGTAATGTTACATTTCTTTTGAGAGAACACAAATGAGGCATGTTTGTACTGATGTGACTTCCCATTAGGCTAAGCAACAATTAAACCTGCGTACACACATGGCAGATGAAAACAAAAATGAATATGCTGCACAACTACAGAACTTTAATGGAGAGCAACACAAACATTACTACATTGTCATTCCTCAGATTTACAAGGTAAAACAATATTTAATACAATTAATTTCTTTATTTTTTGAGGGGGAAGAAGATTTCAAAATTTAAAGAAAGAGATCATCTTGGTAGATTAAATTGATATAAGATATCTAAAGCATATATGTCTAGGTTTGTATTAGCTTACATGTATTGTTCATAGCAATTAGGTTTAGAAATGTAATTAAAATACTGTTATAGTTTCTGTGAATATTGTTATAAATAGCAAGCTTCCTTTTGTTTGCTTAAATACTAGAATCATATTGCAAAAGAAGAAAATGTTTCTTTCAAGGACATAGATTCTGTGCAGCATTCATTTAATATAAAGTGATCAATGGATGGCAACAAATGGGAAATCCCTCAAAGGTCTTGAAGTCTGTTGAAGCATTTGGGATAACACTGGGAACTTCAAGGCTACTCCTATAACCACATTGGTCGTTGGGGCACCATCATTGATGAGCAATCAACCAATTGTCTCCACCCCTGATGATTGTGTGTCAGTGCTTGAATCTCTGCGAAGTCCATTCCTGTGCACTCTTTTATGTTGTCAATCCATCTCTTCTTCTGTCTACCTCTTCTTCTCTTCCCCTGTACTGTCCCTTGGAGGATGATCTTGGATAGACCAGATGATCTTGTTACATGGCCATACCACTTCAGCTTGTGCTCCTTCACGGTCATCAGGAGGTCTTCATATGACCTAGCGCATTGGGTGACGATTTTACGGAAGTATCTCATCTCTACTACCTGCATTTTTCATTCAAGTTTTGCTGTAAGGGTCCATGTCTCGCACACATACAGAAAAATGGAGATGACCGTTGCGTGCAGCAGTGTCAGTTTGGATTCCAGGGAGATGTTCTTATTCCTCCAAATTGGCTTTAGCTTTGCCACTGCTGCTGTTATTTGCACAGTTCTTGCCTGAATTTCAGTGATGATTGCCCCTAAATACTTGAACTGCTTCACTGTCTCCATCTGTTGTCCACTGACAGTGATATGTGAGCTGATCCCATCATGTTTGTTTGTCATCAGCTTGGTTTTCTCTGCACTGATTTCCATGCCATATTTTGTGGAGGTTTCAGCCAATTGTTTCACAGGATTGGCAAGTTCATCTTCGCTGTCTGCCAAGCCATCAGTGTCATCAGCGAACCGAAGATTTGAGATTGTTTGCCCCCAGGGGTGACTGTGCATATGTGATCTTCTAGGGCATCAGTCATTATGCACTCCAGGTAGATGTTGAACAGTGTGGGCGAAAGAAGGCAGCCTTGCCGGACTCCAACAGTGGTGCAAAACCACTCTCCTATTGTGTCATTGACGAGAACTGCACTGCTGGCCTTGGCATACAGTTGTTTAATGGTAAGAATAAGCTTACGACCAACGTTGTACTTCTTCATGGTTGCCCAGAGAGCTTCGTGCCATACTCTGTCAAATGCCTTCTTGAAGTCAACAAAGACGTGGTAGATGTTCTGCTGGTGTTGTAAGTACTTCTCACATAGAACACGAAGGTTGAAAATCTGTTCTGTAGTACTTCTTCCAGCATGAAAGACAGCCTGTTCTTCAGCGATGATATTGTCTGCTTGTGGCTTCAATCTGTTCAATATGACTTTCAACATCACTTTGCTGGGATGGCTAATTAAGCTTATGGTCCGGTAATTTTGACACAATTGCAGGTTGTCTGTCTTTGGCAGAGTGATGATTAGTGACTGTGTCCACGTGGAGGGCCACTCACCGGTCTGCCAGATCTTGTTGCAGATCTTGGTGAGTACATCTATTACTATTTCTCCTCCGAATTTCATCAATTCAGCTGGGATGTTGTCAATACCTGCAGCCTTTCCATTCTTGAGTGATTTCACAGCTGTCTCCACTTCTTCACATAGTATTGGAAAGTCATCCTCCTCTATTCAATCTGGGCTGTCTAATATACTAGGATCTGCATTTGTCTGGTGGTTGTATAGATCAGAGCAGTAGTTTGTCCACCCTATTGATTATGTCCCTTTCTTCTGTAACTGTTCCCTTCTTTGTCTTGAATTGCGTTAGCTTTGGTCCATCTTTTCTTCATCAGATCTTTTACAACTGGGAAGGCTCCTTTGCTATTTTTATTATTGATACACTCTTCAATTTTAGAGCATTGTTTTTCAATCCATATCTCCTTGGCCACCTTCATTCCTTTCTTGATCTTTCTGCCAATTACTCTGTATTTATCAGCTCCCTCAGTGCTGTTCTTGTCTCTCTTAAGTTCTCTTCTAATATCACACATTTGTAGTGTTTCATTTGTGACCCATGGTTTTGTCTTCTTACGATGTTTCCCAAGGATGTCCATTGCTGCCTCATTCATTACAGCCTTGAAATTGTTGGTCATTGTTTCTACGTCTTCCTCTAGAGCAAGCAGTGGGGCAAATTTTCTGCCGATCATTGCTTGGAATGACTCTGCAACGTTTCGGTCTCTGAGTCTGGTGAACTTTGGCCTGATGATTTTCCTTAACTGCAGCCAAAAATTTAGCATTACAAGGTCATGATCACTTCCAATATCAGCACCAGGAAAGCTCCTTGTTTTAGCTCTGTTAATCCCAGAACGAAATCGGTGCGTGCCAGGTTGATCATCTGGATGCTGTATGTGCTCCTAATGTATTTGCAAGAACCAGATTGTTATAGATGACAAACTCCAAAAGTCTCAATCCTCTCTCATTGGTTACCGCATTACAGAAAGGGCCGCAATAACCTTGCCAATCTGCCTATGCGTCAGTACCCACTTTAGCATTCCAATCTCCTTGTACAATCAGGATATCTTTCTTGTGTACCTTATCAATGATGTCTTGAAGCTGACTGTAAAAATCTTCAATTTGATCATCGTTATAGTCTGTTGTAGGGGCATAGACTTGTACCACTGTCATTAAACGGTACTGCCTTTAGATGGACATGGGTCCGGGGGCAGAATAGTCCCACTGCTCCTCCTGCATCTCATAAGAGGCGACTAAAATGGGGCTGCCTGGAGAGGGATGGGCTCCACCAGGTTAGAAATTTGCCCAAGACTCACCATATGGTAAGCAAGTCAACAATGTCCATACCGGATTGATTGCAGCCCAGCTTGTTAATGACTGCGCCATCCGTCTCCCACCAGGGCAGATGCGACAAGTATACTACTGGTGTAACCCCAACAAAGAGGATCCGTGGAAGAGATAACATCACCACAGCCACATGGAATGTAAGGACATTGAGACAATTGGGAGGTTGAAAGAACGCACATCTGAAATGGTACAATACACCTGGCACCTCCTAGGAATCTCTGAGGTCAGATGGAAGAACTTTGGAGAGGTATTAACGGAAGAAGGCCATATACTCTATTACAGTGGAGAGGACAAACATGTCAACGGTGTAGGATTTCTTGTGCATAAAGATATCAAGAATTCAGTATTGGGATGCCGCCCAATGTCCAGCAGGCTTATTTCCATCCGTCACAAGCTACTACTCAGAATCAAAGTGAGAGGAAACAGAGGAAGAATGAAAACCTTGAATTCATTTACACGTTTAATAACCTGAGAAAACTTGAGATTTTCCAGGAGCATGGGAGAGGATCGCAAAAGAATTATTTATTTGAAACTCTAGGAATCCCAGGAGGAAATTTTTTTTCCTGGTTAAAAACTTAGTTTTTTTATCAGTAAAGAATGCTACCTCCAGTGGATCTGTCAATAGAAGACTAAGGAAGGAATTGTAGAACATACCTGAGACTGCAGAAATCCGTGTATTAAGCAAAGACCCAAGAGGAACATTTTTGATCATTTTTGTTTTCTCTTTTGATCAGAGACTTGGTTTATTACATTTCTCCAGGGTTAAAATACTTTTTTTTGTTATGAGAAATTACTCTTGTTTCCTGAAGTCCTCGGCAAATATGATCCCAAAGACCTAGTTTTGCTTTATTACAGTGACTTTCAACCTTTTTTCATGTGCGGACCCCTAAAAATTTTCATATGGAAGGTGCAGATCCCTTTGGAAATCTTAGACATAGTCTGCGGACCCCCAGGGGTCAACAGACCACAGGTTGAAAACCTCTGTTCTATGGTAACAAAAGCCTTTTGCAGACCCCTTAGATGTAGTCTACAGACCCCCAGAGGTCCACGGAGCACAGATTGAAAACCACTGCTTTCTAAGGCTCTTACTTAGCACTTCTTTTTATTGTTTGTTTGCAAGTGTTGAGTAATATTTACAAGCAAATAATTACATGACTCAGCTGTTATAGTTTTATCTCAGGGAGATCATGTGAGATGCTGCTTGAGACATCTGCTTCTGTTAGGGTAGATTTAGCAAAGGCTTGAGCCTACCTCAGATCCCAATTATTGTAACTAATAGGCTGTGTTTTCAATAGATTTTATAGTGTATTTTTATAGTAAGAGTGGGATGAGCTCTGGATATGCATCATTATATAAATAATGGATTATTGTTTTTTTTTTATTAGTATTTTTTATTTGCTCAAGGGTCTCTGGGATTTTGAACTTAATGGTCCCTTTTTCTGTTTTAAATGTAGGACTAGCCAACATCCAATGAGATACTTGGATAAGAAATGGTTCTAGTTGGCTTTCATTACAAAGCTTATGTAACATTGATTTTTTTCTTATTTTCCAGCACACATCTCTTGCAGGAAAGGGTTTGTGTCTTAAATGGGATATTAGAATTGTGTCCCATTTGTACATGATATTCATATCCTTTCCCAATGTTTTTAATAATCTCTGTTCTATTGGCAATGTGTGTGAAATGGAAGGAAAGTTCAAAACAAAAACAAGACTTTAAAAAAAAAAAGCCTCAAATTTTTGTCAGCTAAGCCTAGAAAGAATTACATGGGTGAGGGAGGTTAGAAGATGGGAAATTCAGCCAATTGTCCTACACAATTTTCCAAATTTTATCCGAAATGTTTCTTAATTAAAGGAAGTGTCTATGTGATTAACGGGGTGGAGGATAGAGAGGAGAAGCAGACTGTGACAATAGGAAGCCTTATGTTTCCAAATATTGTCTTTAATAAAGAGTATCCAGTCTTCCTGATTACACTGTGTTCTGTACATCTTTTGCTAAAAAGGTGTCAGTGACAAAATGTATTTAAAGAATATTATTTTTTATCTAATTGTATTCAGTTTTGTCCTAATACTGGACAAAGAAATTCCATACTTTGTTATAAAATGGCTCCTGAATCTGCAGGATAAACAAGGGATATCAGTAAACAAAATCATATTATCTTTTTTCTTCTTTGTAGCATCTTCAAGAAATGGATGAACGGAGGACCATCAAGCTTAGTGAATGTTATAAAGGTTTTGCTGATTCTGAGCGCAAAGTTATTCCCATAATCTCTAAATGTTTAGAAGGAATGATTCTTGCAGCAAAATCAGTTGATGAATGCAGAGTAAGTGAATTCAGCTCATTTTCTTTTTTTAATATGCATGAGTAAGTTAACTAATATGGGAGCCATGTGGCATATTATTGAAAGGGGGGAAAATACACTAAATATTTCAGATTTATATTGTCCACTTATCTTTTAATCTAAAAGAGTCAAATCCTGAAGTTAACCTCGTCTTTGAGCGTTTTACCTGAATAAAAAATGAGTTATGACTTCAGGATTTGGTCGAAATGCTAATTTCCTGTTTTGATGTCAGTTGTCTACATCAAAACTTTCTCATGCTTTTTCATCCTTTTGGCTCATCTCTGTTAACGCAACCCCACTGGTACTTAGTACTCAGGTTGGCTTTGCACAAATGATCACTCCATCTTAACAGTTTGTTTTGATAACTATGGTTGGGTAGCCAGGCCTGGATTAAACCAATGTGAGTTTGTGATCAGGATGCTTCTTGACTGGGAACTGGGTTGACATCAATTTATTTTACATGAGCTACTGAAGAGCTGTCTGAAATAGACAGACAGCAGTTTGATCTCGCAAAGAACTAAGTGTAAAGACTGGTATGGTTGTAAAGTCCAATACTCACAAATTAGAAAATTCCAGAATTGTCTGCTTGTGCAACCTTAATTTGACCCCGTGGTGCATAGCCTTATGACACGGTCTTTAAATTATATGATCACACAATATATATGTAAGATACTGTATTATGGGATTGATCCTACTCACTGAAATGGGAGTTTTGTCATTGACTTCAGTGGTAGCCGCACTGGACCTTATGTTAGTAATATATAAAAACAAAACATTTTATAAAAGGAATTATATTGGGAAAGTATTTTTCATGTGTAGTTAAAACAATTTACAGAAAATAGTATATATGAAAGCTCACTAATATGTCTGAAATAGGATGTATAAAAATTAATTATTACTGTGGAATGAAGGCAGATGCAATATTTGGTTTAATCTATAATATTAATATTTAAAACTCCTGTGTGTTACAGTATCTAAGCGTTATTTTACAGATGGAAGATTTGAGTCAGAGGGATTTATTGACATACCCAAGGCTATAGAGGGAGTCAGTGTCAGAATTGATCCTATAAACTTTGGATTTCATGCTTCCTGATCCCATGGCTTAGCCACTAGACTACACCTCTGAATAGATTAGATCAGTGATTTTCAACCTTTTTTCATTTCTGGACCCCTAAAAAATTTTGAATGGAGGTGCGGATCCCTTTGGAAATCTTTGACATAGTCTGTGCACTCCCAGGGGGTCTGCGAACCACAGGTTGGAAACCTCTGGTTTACATGATAGTACAAGTGCTAACAGGAAAACTGTATCTGTAAATGCAATTATTCATTTAGAAAGAATATTCATGTCTGGAATTATCTTTTATGCAGTCCATATTGCTTCTGTTGTCTTGGCTGTGTATGTTTATAGCATAGCCAGTGCAGTAAGATTCATACGTGCAGATTTTTTTTTAAGCTCACTAATGTTGCTTATATACAGGATTCTCAAATAGTGATAGACTCCTTCAAGTCTGGGTTTGAACCTCCTGGAGACTTCCCATTTGAAGATTACAGTCAGCATATTTACAGGACCGTCTCTGATGGAACCATCAGTACACCAAAGCAGGAAGGAATGAAGATTGATTCAAAAACCACTGTGGGCAAGGCTAAGGGCAAGCTGTGGCTTTTTGGAAAGAAGCCAAAGGTAAGAATTGTGAAGTTACTATTCCCAAATAAAATTGTGCTTAGGATTTGTAGTTTGTGGTAGAAGGAATTACTTCTTTTAAAGGTGACTCACAAAAGAAAATTAAATTACATGCTTTCCCCTTTACTTTGCAGGTAGAGGTACCAAATGGATTCTACTATTTGTTGCTGGTTTTGAAAGTTTGTGATAATATTTTCATAAAATGCTTTCTGTTTGAAAACATGAAATATTTGGTCATATAGTAAAACATCTAATTTTTCAGAGTTTCATATGGGCAGGTGCCAAAGGGGAAACTTAAGACTAAACAAATAAAAGAATTAATAGTTATAAACCTACTTTTGATAAAAATGTTAGAACAGAGATGTTACTCCTCTCTTACTTCTGTGCATGTAGGTTTAATTGACACTTTCTGTGAAAGATGCCTTCATGGACCAACAAAAGGGGCCACTAATACTGGTGTTGGCTATTTAAATAAGTAATTGAACATACAAAGATTAAATTACATATATTTTAGATCTTTTTTACTTGTTCCATATTAGAGCGTATAAACAAATCATTTAATTATTCCCACAAATTTTAATGAGGACTTTCAATGCTGCTAGTCAGTAGCAACTTAGTGAAATAGAAAAGTTTTATTATGACGAAAGAACTACTCTCCAGACTTCTTTCCAGTTGGGATTTATGTTTTTGCAGATAATATTCCAGATACACAAGTCTTCTCTAAGGGGAGAGATAGAATATCTAATTCCTGCATCCTCCTCATAGCACATTTTCTAATTGCTCCTGTATGGTAGCAATGAAAACCTGGGTTATTTATTTTTCATCCACTGTAATTATTAACTGTAATATATCACTTTATCATGCTAACATATTTTACTAGTATTTGTCTAGAGGGCTACACAAGAGATTAGGACTGAATTTAAATTAAAAGACACCATCAATTTGAAAATCATACTTCTGCCTGAAAATTTTAGCCAGGGCCTCATCTGGTGTAAATTGGCTAGTTCCATTGAAGTAATGAAGCTGTGCTGATTTACACCTGCGGAGGACCTGTCCTTCTGTTCTTACTTTAGTTACAGTTAACACCTAAGATGACTGTAGTTGAAAGAAGGTATCAGGAAAAAAAATTCTCTCTCTTCCCCAGTTTTACTTTGTACATTTGATAGCACTTTGTATATTGTCACTGTTTTCTTTGTAGAGTCATGCTACAATTCTGCAAATACTTACACATTGAGTAGTGCTGCTGAACAGAGTGGACCAAATCATGGGTAAAGTTAGTCATATGTAATGGTTACGTGCATTGCAGAATGGAAGCTTATGTCAGTGTTTCTCACTTTCTGGGGAGGAAAAACAGTAACAAAGGAGCATACCTTTTTTAAGAAGTATTTTAAAAAAAATCAGAGCATTATTTAAACAATTTATAACAGAAACTGGATTTTTTAAAATTGATTTTAAAAAATTCTGGTTGACAAACTAGCTGGATGTTCAGGGTAGCCTTTGTGACTCGATGTATCTGTGAATCTGGTGGGTCTTAATTTGCATTTCAAGATACTCGACCTCTTTGTAGATGGTAAATTCAGCTGAGATAGTAGTTTTTTGAAAGGGGAAAGAACTATAGAAGATGGAGGAGAGGTGTATAGCAGGTGAGGGAAAAGCAGATTGGAAAAGGAGTAGGGAGGAGGAGAAAAGGTTAGAGGTGGGTGATTTAAAACAGAAGTGAAGGAAGAATGAGGACATTAAAGAAGCTGTAATGGTAAGGAAAGCCGTACACCTAATGTTAAAGTCCAAAGGTAGTGAATCTATCTTACCTACTTCAGTAGTTCCCCACAGCTGGGATTACAAATTTGTCTTTCTGTGACTGACCTGTTTAGGGACATCATAATGGTAATTCTGGATTTAGCCTATCACATATAATAGAAAAAACCTTACAGAGAAGGAGGAGCAGTGCAGGGTGAGGAAGAGCAGGAGTCCAGAAGGATAGTAACAAGGGTTAGGGAATACTGAAGATGCTATTGGGAAGTATAAAGGAAGGAGACTATCTCAGGTACTTGGGTATTGCTAGTATCTCGGAAATTGGGTGGAAAGTATTCTTAAACTTGTATCCTTTATCTGCACCAACTTTAACTCAAAAGACTAATTCTGAATAAAACCATTTAGAAAAATGACTATCTTTGCTCTGCAAACTATTTTAAAGTTGATACAGTTATGGTGGTAAATCTTCTAGTAAAACATGCTATGAACCGTTTTTGTGTTGGATGGAAATTTTGTTACTGAAAGACAGAATTTTCATTTTAAAATTACTTTGAACATTTGGCTTATTTATTCCTTTCTTTATTTCCATATTAGCCACAGTCCCCACCCCTTACCCCTACTAGTTTATACACATCCACTACTCCTAATGGGTCCCAGTATCCCATATTCTCCATTGAACCAGTGCATTATTGCATGAGTGACATAAAAACAGGGAAGCCCAGAATTCCTTCTTTCAGAAGCCTCAAAAGAGGGGTAAGTTTGATAAGCAGTTGAAAATGCATGATGGGCTATGAAGTGTGTTTGTGGTGTGGCTTTTCTGATACCCTCCACCCTCATTATAAGGCTCACTCTGGTATAACACTCTGATAAAAGGTCACTTTTAGGGTACTTTGCTCTCTATTACATAATAGTTACCTTCATTTTAAAAACTTTTTATTACATTAAAAATGTTTGACTCCAAAAGGAAAGTATTATAAAGAGGGTGCTGAGTATGTGTTTGAAATCTTTTTTTGTTGTTGTGCACATTCACAAATGTCTTACCTCCATCATGTAATGCATTTTTGCAGTAATTTATCATTGGGTGTATAGTTATCACTAAAGAAATTGACATGTCTTATTTGCTGATGTCTTGCTAAAATAGTAGAAGTTGATTTCTGAGAAACTGAATTAAAAGGGGAAAACCCATCTCTCGTTGTAGTTTAAATGCGATAGTGTGCAGTTTTTAACACGTTAAACCATCATTCGTTTCTTATAATGGATTATAATTTTTTTTAATGTAATGTACATTGATAGTTAAATTGCTTTTGCTTCCTAAAGGATTTTTTTTTGTAAAATACCTTCCATCAATTATAAATTACTACTAAACGTCACTTTCTGAGATTTATTAGGGGAATGCATTTACTAATTTATAATAGCATATTTAGCAAATGGAATTTGTTCCGTTGACAATAAAATTGAAAAGTTGAAATGGTTTCCTAGAAACATATATTGTACTAGTGAAAAATGAACTGGCATTATCCCATTATGTCAGTGAAACATAGTCTGCCTTGTTTATGTAAAATTTATAGCATTTGTTGATCCCCATAATCAGAAATTTAGGTATATTTGGTTAGATTTATATCATTATTTTTCTGATATTGAAAATGAAATAAACCCTCTGTTTCATACTGTATACAACTATGGCGGATTCTGTTGCTCTAGAGTGGAGATCAAAGTCCAACGTCATATGACATTCCAGTTAATGATTAGAGGAGCCCTGGCTGTCAGTTGATTACATTTCAGATTATTTTAAATTTACATTCTTTAATTTACCTTATCTAGTGCCTGGTTACTCCAAGCCCTCAAGTTACTCTGTATACCACCCCTTATATACAGGAGCCTAGGTTGCAGAAGACTCTTGTGGACATCTAAGATCTTTATGAAGGACAGATTTCCCCTTTCTCTCCTTCTGTGTCAATTGATCAAAACTTGCTTTGGTCAGGAGAGTATAAGGAAACTCCTTCAATACTGTTCATTAATGAGGTATGGGAGGTTGTTGAAATAACACTAATCTTTTCCGCTTTCTCCTGATTACTGAACATGCCTGCTACTGACTCAGGAAGCAAGGCCTGATAGGAGTTTTAACCAAGTAGGCCATTTTATTACATGTAAAAATCATCTAGTGGCAGTTTTACTGTATGAACAGAAAATGAAGTGCATCTTAAAAGAAGTTTTTTATTTTAAAACGCACTGATCACAATGCAAAATAGAAAGGTTAGCGAATGTGATCAAATATGGCATTAATTAAAATTTACAAGGATCATTCAAGCTTCTGCAGATCTGAGCTCAGCTCAGTGGAAGTCCCACAATACCAAACATTATTCTCTCTTGTAAACCTTCAGGGCAGCAAATATAATTGTTTGTTTCATTTAAAAAATTTTTGCAATATCATGCAAGCACTTTAAAATACTACTTTAACAAATGTCAAGGGAACTGATACATCCTTTTGCAAGCTGAACAATTTACCATAGTTGTAAAAAATTTCCTGTCATATGGCAATTTAATATTGTATATGTTTTCCATCAAAATATATAAAAATATTTCAGATATTGTACATTGACACTATTTAACACACACAACTGTGATTTCCACTCTTTTATTGCTGTAAAACATTTTCTCAATGGTATTGACATTCTCTGCTATCAAATGGCATTTTAATTTGCTTTGTTTTTTAATTTAAATTCACCAGTAAATTGGCAAATAATATGCACAGAAGCTGAGTATGTTGGATATTTTGTTTACCTGCCCTGTCCAGGATTTCACTCAAGGAATATTTGAACAAGGCCATAAACAGGAAACTGCTCTCATTACTCTGTGCTTCATGCATCATCAAAACTCCCCATCAGCAACTGTGTGTAACAGAAAACAAATTCAAACTGTAGGGGTTTTCTTTGTTCACTGTTATCATTGCCCATCTGAAATGAGCAGAAATGCAGCTATGTTGTTTATTTAATGTGAAGGAGAAACCCAAATGTCATTCCATGCTATAAATCAAGGGAAAGTGATTCTGCAAACCAGACACATCAGATAATGGGTAGTTTTTGTCACTTATTTGTTAAAATGTATTATTATTTATTCTACTTCCAATTTGTAATTGTCAAAGAGTTTAATGCTGTGAAAGGTGCCGGCTTGATAGCAGTTTGAACGGAAATCCCAGCCTTAAAACAGGCCTATCATAAGCAATGGAAGTGCAAGCCTCACCCATGCTTCTCTGCCAGTTCTCCTCAGTGCATGTCTGGGGAGATTACCTCTAGAAAGCAGAGTCGTTCAGTCTATGTCCCCGTTACATTATTAGAATTTACTGAGCTTGCTAGCCAGGGTGTTATTAATAGAGGTGGATTTTTAGGTGGAAAAGGTAGAAACTTGGATTTTTAGGTAGAAACTTGTTAGAAAGTTGCTTAAATGAGACCTCTAACCTTTCATGTATGCCACTCGTTAGCAGTCAGACAGTAATACCATTTGGTCACAACTGATGATGTGAATATGAATCATTGATACATTGATGAAAGGCTTCAGAGTAGCAGCCGTGTTAGTCTGAATCCGCAAAAAGAACAGGAGTACTTGTGGCACCTTAGAGACTAACAAATTTATTTGAGCATAAGCTTTCGTGGGCTAAAACCCACTTGTATTTTCCACTGCATGCATCCGATGAAGTGGGTTTTAGCCCACGAAAGCTTATGCTCAAATAAATGTGTTAGTTTCTAAGGTGCCACAACTACTCCTGTTCTTTTTATTGATGAAAGGGTCCTTTCTAACCCCTTCATGGTGCTCTACTTGAGAAGCTTAACAAGTTTGGTAGGATCACTCTGAGTGTATAGCACGCCCCTGGGATATGGCACCTTGTTGGAGCTGTACCAGTCTTGTCTGTCATAAGATATTGCTTTGTCTCAGAAGAAAGTCCTGTTTATTCTCACCAGTTTGTCTGTAGATTTTAATATTTTTGAGTATAGCGCAGTGATCAATTGAACAGTTTAAAATGTAAAATTAAACTTTTAAGCTTGAAATGGCAGAGAAGGGATTTTGCACCTTCCATGGGAACCCTCTTTATTTTTGTTCTGTTGGGATATTAACAGTTTTGAAGTGATGCAGTATATTCCTAGTCATGATTTACCAAATTTTTGTATATGATAGACCGGCCCATCATCGTCGTCATCATCAAAAATTCTTCTGCTTTGTGCAGTGTTCGCTTTATATTTTGTTTTTCTCTAAATATATATTATTATAAATACTAAAATAAATAAGTCGTTAAATGAAGCCATGCATTGTAATTCCACAAGGTAAACTACCCATTATCATTCAATGTAAGCTTTAATTGCCAATAATTCTCTCAGCATAAGTGCACTTCAAACTTGTATTTTGCTGTTTTTGTGCTGATAGTGAAGTGCATCATTTAATTTTGAGTTTGTAAAATTTTACTTTAAATATTTTAAAGATATATTTTTAGGAATAAACCTTCACTTCCTAAATGATGATTGCATGTGAATAATTTCCCGTTTCTTTCTGTTTTCAAATGAACTGTTCAGTGGTCGGTGAAGATGGTAAGCCTGTGTGCTGATCTGTCTGCTGTACTTCTGATAAAATAGCATGAAAGTAATCTTTTGAAATTGTTTCCATATCATAATTGCTTTGAATCAGGTGCTGAAATACATTTTCAGATTTTTCACCTTGTATACATGGTCTTTCTTTTTAATCATCCATGTTCAGTGTGAGCTAATTGGACCTGTGATCTGGATGCAACTTATCTATGACTTAGAGTGAAGGTGGACAGATTTCATGTGTTGGTCATAATGAAAATATATTTCATGATTTATCAGGGATTGATAGAAAAGCTGTTAAAACTCTGCAGAATAGTTATATGAAAAGATTGTGGAAGTTGTATAAAGAAGGAAACATGAATAAGAATAATAAAGGGTCTTTTGAACTTAATTTTTAGTGGTTGAAGGAAAAATACACCTCTTTCCACTTGTACTGCCAAGCTCTCAATTTGGATGAAAAATTCCAACACACACCTATCGGCATTTAGTTTCCTGGAGTGAATCAATGATATTCACAATAAGAGTCCTGTTCTTCTAATTTTACTATAAGGTACCACTGATGTAAAAAGGCGGCCGGGGGTGGGTGAGAGAGGCAGGAGGAAAGTTTGTCCTTTCTTGTTTCTTTATGATGCGTAAAGAAAGCAATATGGTGGTGGCTGTGTTTTTTACATTAGAAATATCAGATCGTGATTTTCCTGGTTGTACTGAATGACTGAAGTAGTAGTGGAATGATGATATCACAAGTGACAAGGGACTGAAAACCATGCAGTTGAGAAGGGAAGAAATTTTTAGACACATTGTTTAAAACTTGGTGTGGGCTGGTGTTGGGTCAATGAATGCCCATTTAACTCAAAATCCTGACAGTTGGGAGAAACGCACTGCTTGTTAAATTCTCCCCTTTTCAGATTGCCTTTAATGCCAGATTCTTTTTCAGCGTTTAAAACAAACAACCTTCTAAATAACTAGCACATGAAGAAGGCAGCATTTTTATCAGTTGGTATTATTAACCCTAAGGCTTGAACTTTTTTTTCTCCTCTCCCCAAACGCTCTTTCTTTCTTTCTTTCTTTCTCTCTCTCTCTGACATGCATATCTGTTGCTGAGGTGTGGGCTTTTGGCAACAACCTCTTAAAATTCATATGTATAAATACCCCCACACACTTAATTGAGAGGACATATAGGGGCTTATACCTGCAATATACTGAGGCGAGGGAACTCATAGTGTCCATAATCCATATTTTCTGTAATTTATTTGGTAAAAGGATTTGAGCATTTGAAGTTAGTTTTTATGCAAAATTTCAAGAACCATCAATGTTTGAGCAACAAGCTGTCCCCCCTCCCCCCCCAAACATACTATTTTTGGGAATAGAATGAAAAAGTTGACAATGCTTCTGTAGCTTTGATTCAGGGTAGTTTCTGTAATCCACAGTTTTGATGTTGTATAAACTCCATTTCACTCTCACATAGCTCATGTTGATAGTAAATAAAGCAGGACATAGAAGAGGACTTAGAGATTTCATAATTTTATGTAAAAATTCATGATTGAGAAACGATTTACTAACTAGTTAATATTTCTTCTCAAGTATGCTTTCAGGCATTATTGACCAAATTCTTAAAGGGAAATATATCAGTAAGGGATTTGGGATGAATACCACGATTGTATTCTTTTCTTTTGGCAGTATCCAAGTAAAGTGGAAAACAGACACTCTAGGCAGATTGCAAACCATATACGCCTATTGCTTTCTGGATTTCAGTTGTAATTACTATTTGGTACAGTATTTCATGCTGTCTGTTAACTTACTAAATTGGCTTTGATTGCAAGGGCTGGACTAGGAGGACCTATGGTTCAGCTTTTCTGTGCAATCGTTTATAGATCCATAAATTATTTATTATGGACCTAACCCAGCTATTGAAGAAACTATTAGCATTTCTGTTGACTTCAATGGGACCAGTATTAGGCTGTAGGCATGGTTGTATCTGCAAAGCAACTTACAGCAACTAAACGTTATTTTACAGAAGTATATATTAAGATAATTGTGGAAATACTGATGATGGGGTGTAGTTCACCAAAGTTGATAGAATTTAGACAGTATGAAAAAATGTTTTTTGGTTTGATTCTAATATTGCTCCTGTTCATTAAGTGATTGTTGTAATATTATGAAGAATACTTTGAACTGGCATTACTGTACATTAAAAGTACTTAGGGTTGCAAATTTTGCTGACTTGCACATTTACCAGATCTGCGATTGGCAAATTAATTTGCATGGTCTATACCAGGGATCGGCAACCTTTGGCACACGGCCCGTCAGTGAAATCCACTGGCGGGCTGGGACGGTTTGTTTACTTGCAGAGTTCGCAGGTTTGGTCGATCGCAGCTCCCACTGGCTGCGGTTCGCCGTTCCAGGCCAATGGGGGCTGCAGGAAGCAGCGGCCAGCACATCTCTTGGCCCACACTGCTTCCTGTAGCCCCCATTGTCCTGGAACGGCGAACCGCGGCCAGTGGGAGCTGCAATCGGCCGAACCTGCGGATGCTGCAGGTAAACAAACCATCCCAGCCCACCAGCGGATTTCCCTGATGGGCCGCGTGCCAAAGGTTGCCGATCCCTGGTCTATACTATGAAACAAAGAAACTAAGTCTAAATTTCCTCACAGCTTAGCTGAGATGGTTATTAATTTTGATTTATTTTCTGCTAGTGTGTATTCTAAGTCAGTTTATTCCCCATTCATGTATCACTCTTGTGATATGTATCCAATAACGATTTTATTAAGACTTCTTGTTTGATTATTTTTTTTGACCGTGCCCAAAAGTGCGCTAGGCACTTCAGGGTATACGTTGAGAGAGAGATCATGTCTTTCTAAATGCCTATAATCAAACTTGTCACATGATGTGACAGAACAAAACAGTAGGGAGGGGACAGAGTGAAGAACAAGGGCTATGACACTAAGATCATACGTACTCGGTTTAGGTGTATGCTTGATATAGCTGTGTGTATAGCATAGTTGCTAAGAAGGTTCATCCTGCTACCTCATGTCAGAGAAAACTGTTTGTGTGTGGATTGTCAGTAGAAATAACTATAGACAGAATTTTCCAGTGTTTAATAGTATTTATCTTTGTTGCAGGGTCCCACACTAGAAGATTTCAGTCATCTGCCGCCAGAACAAAGACGTAAGAAACTGCAGCAGAGAATCGATGAACTCAACAGAGAACTACAGAAAGAAACAGACCAAAAGTAAGTGTGTCCTTCACAGCTTAGTCCATTTTTTGGTCACCCTTATCTTTGACCATTTCTTTCTAGGTTTCTTTTTATAAGCCAGAGTTTTCAAAAGTTAAACTGCTCTAAGTAGTATGTCAATTGTTGGTCTGTCCACCTTTATAGTATATGTGCTCCATCGTTATCAACTTTGTTGTTTTAGCAATTGATTATCCGTTTTTATATTAAACATTACAAATACTGTATCTAGAGTTGTGAATGCTCAACAACTCTAAAAATCAGACCTTAGGTCTGCCAAACTGGGCATCTAAAACTAGTGGATACATTAGAAAACTTGGGCATTAATCGTTAAGAAATGACCATATGCCAGGAACCAGGTAGCAGAGGGTGAATTATAATGAGATTGAAGATGGGTGGAAAGACCCAGTATTTGAACTGTGTATGTCTTTGCAGAGAGAGGGTGCGGGGAGGGAGGGGCATAAGCACAGTAGGAGGGAAGACAGGATACTGGGCTTTGCCCTTGGGGAGAGGCTAAGGAAATGAGGGCCTTATTTTATTGAGAGAGTGGAGGGGACAGGACTGGGGAGGGAGACAGTAGCTTCTCTTGGGTCAGGAAAGAGAGAGTTTTTATATTCATCCTCTTTGTGTCTATGGTGGTTGTTATTATTTGTATTACTGTAGAACCTAGAAGCCCTAATGATGGACCAGGAACCCATTGTGCTAGGTGCTGTACAAACATTGTTTTAGTATTTATTGGACTGTTAAAGACAAAACATCTTGTAATGTAATTGCCACTTGTAATAATTCCTGGGCATTCATATACCTCACTACAGGGATGCACTCATCAAAATGAAAGATGTTTATGAGAAGAATCCACAGATGGGGGATCCAGGCAGTTTGCAGCCAAAATTAGCTGAAACTATGAGCAACATGGATCGTCTTCGAATGGAAATACACAAGAATGAGGTTAAAAACTATTAAATTATTCCTTGGCAAGTGTATTGAAATAGGAATATGCTGATGTTCCCTGTAAGTCACAAACATAGGAACTAGAAAATTTCTCTGTTTGAAGAAGTTAGTCTGATTCAGTTTTCCATGGAGCATCCTTCCCCCTAGTATGTTGACGTAGGTAGACTGAGATGATATGCACTGAGTAATTTAATGTAAATTATTTTCTACAAATTTATTTTTAAGTGATTCATGTTAAATGGTTCAAGATGTCAGTTTTTACCATTTTCTCAACACCACTACTGAGTATTAAACTGAGATGATAGCTTTGTGCATCAAGCCAAGTAAATAGAAAACTTTCATGATGATTTGGTATTTAGCAGATATCTGGATGTATATTGGCACTTAAATTCTACACTGTTAAGTGTATTTGAAATAGTACATTTGGTGATATATAACATTTGCTGGTTGAGACTTCTCTGGTAATATTGACCCCAGATGTTTTCTGACTTTTTTCCCCATAAGGCCTGGCTCTCTGAAGTTGAAGGTAAAGTAGCAGCAAGAGGAGACAGAAGGCACAGCAGTGACATCAACCATCTTGTAACACAGGGAAGAGAGAGGTCACTATTTTAACAATATCTGCGTTGAAGCTTTACTGGAATTCTCAGTAGATTTTTTTATTTTTCACAGCTACTCCCACCATGTCCATCTGGCATCTAAGGGTGGGTGATACCCACCTCTCCTTCTCCCACATTCCCAGATGCACTATGTATGTCCTTCAAATGGCATCTTTTGGCCATAAGGTTCTAGATTTTACTTCTTTTCATTCTTGCCACTTCAGTAAAATAATTTTCCATTAAAATACATGCATACACAGACTAGTCAGGTTGTAGGTAATTCAAGGTGAAAACGGTATATGACATCACCGAAGGGTCACTCTTTCAATTAATGTCCCCTGTTGACTTCTATAACTTCCCAAGCATCTCAGGTAGATTTTTTTTCCCCCATTTCGCACCTCTGTCAGATCATCCCCATTGCTGTATCTTCCTTGTTAAATGTTAAATTTGGGCTGTTCTAGTAGCAGAGTTCAGTGCAAGCCTTTAAAAAACAGCTCTGCTCCTTCAGAAAACAATATGCATTAATACTTAATCCATAATTAAATATTGCCAACCTGTTTTCCTCATGTGTTCACACTGATAGCCTAGAACAACTTTGAACAGCCTTTTCTGAGTTGCACTAGGGTTCAGATTTTTTTTTAGATATGGAAATGTAACTTCTAAAGTTGTGTGGGTGGTTTTTGAGAAATATACAGAGTCCTTACTCTACTCATTGCATTATAGCCCTGAGGGGAGCTACACGGATGAAGCAAACCAGGAAATTCGAGGCCCACCACAACAGCATGCCCACCATAATGAATTTGATGATGAATTTGAAGACGATGATCCCTTACCAGCTATAGGACACTGCAAAGCAATTTATCCTTTTGATGGTAGGGTTAACTCTGTATATTGTGCTTATTTGATTTTAAAAAACAGAACAAAAAACTGATGGATTATTTTGTTTTAAAAAAATATTAGCAGCTGCGTTTAAGGTCATGAGAAGTATTCCATAGATCAATTTAATTCATTGGCAGAGTAGTACTTTTATATTGTTGTAACACAAATATTAGAAGAACAGCTTCTGGCATATATTCAGCTTTACAACATGAGACCAGATTTTTGTCTGCAAGCCTATGTTTGTCCATATGTTCCCTTCCATAGATTATCAGTACTTCCTGTTTATATAAAGCTTACTTTTAAATTGTGTCTGAGCTGTGAGACTTTTTTTGTCTGTTTTCCCAGGTCACAATGAAGGCACTCTGGCAATGAAAGAAGGGGAGGTTTTGTACGTTATCGAGGAAGACAAAGGAGATGGATGGACAAGAGCTCGAAGACAGAATGGAGAGGAAGGCTATGTGCCAACATCATATATAGATGTAACTCTAGAGAAAAACAGTAAAGGTGCAGTAACCTATATATAACAACTAAGCTGGCAGCTTACTACTCTACATTCCATAGGGAAAATACTGAATCACACAATTTCATAGAAAGTGTTAGGATATCTGAAGGCATTTGTGTGGTCTGTTGTTCACCATGTGAGCTTGGCTAGAGACTTTTTTTTTCCAGAGATGTTAGTACTAAAAGTAAGAAAATGTCTTAATTTAATTCAATTGCTCTGCAACATTTACCTTATTTCTGCATTTATCTCTCTGAGGTCCTTTAGTGTTTTCATTTTATAAATCATTGGATCTGCTCCACTGATCAGGTCATCTTGTTTTTATACTACTATTTTAAAATCCATTTTTAATATTCACTTGCTTCAGAAAGTAATTTTTAAAATTTTCTGTCTGTACAACAATGTACTTGAAAATAACCTCTGTTCCAAATTGCAATTTCTGAAAACCTCTTTAGGCTCTATTGTTCCCGCATCAGCAACTTTAACTACCATATACTTAAAACTCTAAAACAAAAAATAAATAAACCACTCTACAACTGACTGAGCTCAGTTACTGAAAGTGTTCATAATTGTCCTTTCTTTGTAAATATATTAGCAGCTTTCACGCCATAAAAAGGAAAACATTTTCCTATTCTCAAAGGTAAAAAAGCACAATCCACTCAGGATGGTCCATTAAAGATAGAGAAAGTACCGTATGATGGACCTACCCTTTTATTCTCCTGCCAGCGGCTATGAACCTAGAATGTTGTCTATTTGATACTGCTTTGGCTTGGAAATGTTTTTGATGGTTACTATATGGTTAAAACATAAAATGTGTCTTTCTGAATTCCCATGTTCCTTTCCATTCTTGAAAAGCTCTTAATCTCTTTTTCTGAGTTCTAGTAAATGTTTTACGTTCCCAGTGAAAGGATCTTGTACCTTAGCTAGAGGCTTTACATTTCATCACTTGTAGGTTAAAATTCAAACATTAGATCTACAACCATTTTCCTCACCTAATTTTAAATAATAAAGGATAGGAAGGTACATTGCACTACTTGATTACTGGACAAATAGCTATTCTTACTGGAATGTATGTTGCGAATAAGCTTGAAAGGGCTTTTGCTTGCCATCAGATATGGTTAATTGTTCAGGGATTAAATAGAACGGCTATTCTATAGCCATTTAAGGTGGCTGATTAGAATTGAGAAGGCTTCTCTGTTTTCCAGAGGCTTTCAGTAACTCTGTTCTTTTCTTTTTCCTCTTGGACTGCAGGTTCCTGAAGCGGGTTTCTGAGAAAATGGGCGAGATGTTGAAGGAGGTTACATGCAGCTGCTTTTGGGGGAGGGCATTAGGCTGGGAGGCCCAGCAAAAAGAGGGAAAAGCAAGTTGCATGAATGCATGCAGACATACATTTATTCACTAACATTCTTGGCATTTCCATACATAATATGTTACAAATTCTTAAATTTCTGAAGCAAAAGAGAACTCCATTATGGCAGAATAGAAAGGCAACCAGATTTTAAATACTTCAGTCTCATTGTCCTAAAAGACGTACAAACTATTCATCAGTTTGCATTACATTTTGGCTGTCTCAGCTGTCTTCTTTTCCTACCCCATTTTAATTGGCAATCAGAACCATGTCATTTGTCCACATCTGCCAGTGCCACCTCCATGCTCGCCCTAACCTCCTCCTGCATGTCTAGAATTGTCAGGCACCGCTGCATAACACTTTATTATCTCCATTGCTTCTTATTTTATTTTGCATTTGTAGCAAAACCACTTTGTTTAAATATTTCCAGCACTAAAGTTTTCATCCCAGTGTCCATGTATGCTGCTATAACTATTCCAATGCAACCATCATTACATTCCAGTTTTCTTGGCATTATAACTGATGTAAACCTTTATGTATTTATGTTGATTTGGGGAAAAGACTATATCTCAGCTCTAGCCCCAATGCAGTCACAGGATCTCCAAGAACTGTGGTTCATCTTCAGCACTTCAGTAACCTATTGTGAGCACTGAAAACCTGGCATAACAACAAAGAGATTCACCACAACAAGACAAATGACTGTTTTCAGAAGTCAACTGCTTGCCATTAAAATGCTGCCTTAAAACTAGAGAGTGCCTAAATCTGTTGATTGCCAATCCTACCACTACAGTATCCCACAAAGGGCTTTGTGTCTCAGCTCAGTATGATCGCCTGTAACTCTTTCCAAAGTGCAGCAGCTGCTGAGGTAGCCAGGGTGGGTGTTTGTTTTCTAGAGCTTTACCTTAACATAATACATGGTGCATCATCAATTTTATGCATTGAAACTAAAGACATCTAAAAAAATTTATGGAAACTCTTTTATTGTTTTTTAATTTTGGGTTCTGAGGCTCCAGTGGTTGTCTGTTTTTAGGTGATGCTTCATTGTATGGACCAGTTGAAATTTGAGTGATACTTTGTAATGATCTATGTGCACTTTTACTTGTAAACAATTGACATTTGGATATGTTTATACGTGTAAATATAGCTGTCTGCAGTGCCCCTATTGCTTATGGTGTCTCTTCTCCCATTTGTGATTCTATTAATAAAATAAATCTTATCTGATTCAGTGGTGAACACTAGAATAGGGGAGGTAGAGGGGAGGGAGAGTTGTATCATTTAAAGCTTCATAAGCTCAGCCACTTGCTGTTTGGGGAATGAGATATTGTCTCTTTCGCAGGGTTTGAAGCAATACTTGGACACAGCAGTGCTGGATTCCTTCTTTTTTTTTTAAATGAAAATTCAGTGTTGTTAGAAATTGTACTACCAGTAATACTAAATCTGAGTGATTTCTTGTGTGGAAGTGTATTCCTTTATGTATACCACTATTACACAGCTGACCTAGTGTATTGCATTTGGGGGCTATTAAACTCGTTTAGATTTTTGGATATTGTATACAGGGTTATTTATATAAGGTGACATTACTCAATACTGACAAACTACATAATGTAGTTTTTTTTTTAAAAAAAACAGTGCTTTTTTATTTTAAAGTTAGAGAAGAGGTGGAAATGTGAGCTGATTTTTTGGCTAAGAAGCCTTTGGTTTCCTTGGCTAGAAGCCTCACAGGTCACTGGTAACACTTCCTGGTAAAGAACTAACTGTTCTTTTCATGCTACTGTTTGTTTTTCTAAAAGCAGAATTTGCTTCCTTTGGAGGCAAACTGCTTTCACGAGGGATAGTGCAACCTGTATGAGGGTTATTAAATATAGGGGGGAAATTTGTACTTGCACAGCTAGTTCTAACTCATTCTGAAATTTTGAACATGAATTGTCTTAATCTTACATTTTCCAGTAATTTTTAATCTTTTTGTGCACATGTTGATTTCTTAAATGTTAAATGCTTTGTTTAAAAATAGTGTTCTCTGTTGAGAATATTTTAATGGAATAAAAACTTTTCATGGTCAAGATAGCTTCCTTTTTGTCTTCAGTTACAAACCCATCCCTGTACATCTATCACATTTTTTTATACTGATATGTTACTAGAGGGTTGGGTGACCAGATCACACAGGTGAAATATCGGGACATGGGGCCAAAAAAAAAAGCTGCCGGAGGTCCCCGCCCCGCCCCACCCCTCCGTGATACATCTGGGTCTAATTCCGGGGTTAGGAAGATTTCAGAAAAGAGGAACGACCCAGCACACGCGTTACTGTGGTGAGGAGGGCACACAAAGTGCCATCGCACCTCCTTTTGTACCAATTCTTCAGACACACCCAGACTTCCACGCAACGCACAGCGCTACGGAAACGCACTGTGACTGGATGGAAGTTTGCAGCCGCGGTGGGGACTCCCAGCGCTGTGCCGGTGGAGAGCCCCACGGTGCCCCCCACCCACACAGGGAGCTCTCCGCTGGGCCGCACTGACAACACAGCCTGGGCCAGAGAGCCGTGGCCCAACAGGAGGCACGCCGCGCCGTGACAGCCCGGCGGCTCCCTCCCGCCGCGGGCGTCAGAGCCCTATTGATGTGGGGAGCTCGGCGGCAACATCAGGCCCTGGGGCCGGGCGGAGAGAGCTCCCTAGTGGCGGGGGAGGTGATCGGCTCCTGCTCACCCCAGCAGGGATGCACCCTGGCCCCCTGTGCAGGAAGAGACTGGCACTGTCCCTGCAGCCGCCCAACCGGAGCTGGGCGGGGGGTTAGTATCTACAGTCCCTGCCCGGCCAGGCTCTTACCACGAACATGGAGCCCCGCACTGCCTCAGAGATGCTTGGTCGCTGTGCCCGGCTTGCTGAGCACCCAGGTGAACTTCTGAGTCTCCAGGGGAACTAGCGCCTGCTGTCCCCGCGCCCACTCTGCCTTGTGTCATGGGCCCTCACCTAGGCACACAGCAGCTTTGACCTCCCAATTTCCCTGTCCTCACCACCTCCAGCGCTTGCGCTGCCATATAGCTGATCAGCACAAGCCTGGGAGGGAGGGGGGAGGAGGAGGAATGCAGCGTGCTCGGGGAAGAGACAGGGCAGGGTGGGGATTTGGGGAGGGATCCAATGGGGGCACGAGCTCCCTCCGGGCTCCGCCTGTGCACCGGAGCAGAGGCAAAATATCGGGACAATTCGCGTTCCAACCGAAGGTAGGGCAGGACACGGGACAAACAAGCAAATATCAGGATGTCTGGTCACCCTAATAGAGGGCCACATTCTGTCACTCTTAGAGTGGTCTATGTTGCAAGTAGTTGCAGTGACTTCATTAGGCCTACTTGTGGCATGAGGAACAAAAGTGGCAGACTTTGGCTCTGAGTTGCTGAAATATATATATATATATATATATATATATATAGCCTCTGAACATGTTTATTGTGGTTATAGTTATATAAATAAAACAATTTGTATTTGAAAGTTACATATCACAAGAAACAGTGTGTATATAATGAGGTTATGGTGCCAATATCAAACCTGTCTTGACCATAAGCTTGTTCCACCTTTTTTTAAATGTGGCCATATCAGGCCCTCCCAACTGATTAAAATATGAGTTTGCCATTTGATGGTCCAGATTAAAATCTGTGCGGGTGAGCTGTTTTTCTTCTCCCCATCTCCAGGAGGGATTTTCAAGTTTTTACACTCATTGAGACATTGATGCACTTCTTCTAGCTAGCCATCCACAATTAAACAATCTACCATAATCATATTAATGCCTCCCTCACACTACAGTAATTCATTATCACATTGTTTCCTTAAATGATAGGACCAAAAGCCAGACTTCTAAAATGCCAAAAAGGTCATTAACTGTCTCCACTTGCTTCAGAAAGCAAGTTAGTGTGCCAGGTAGTGGTCTCTAGGAGTCACAAACAGGCCCTCTCCACAGAGTGTGAGGTCCAAAACTACATTAAGTGTGGCTCTGGAGCAGCACAGGGGTGACTACTGACTAATTAATACATGGAAGTTTAGTCCCCATGTGGACTCCTTCCCCCCCCCCCCCAATTATTTGGGGATTTGCATACTTAACTACAGGCAACAGTAATAAGATCTCCTAGCTAACTTGAGAGGAGGGATTTGTGTCACTGAGAAATAACCAAACAGCAACTCCACACTTCAATGGGCAGAGACATTTCTAGTTCAGTGTAAGAGATTTTAATCAGCATCATGACTTTGTCACTGAGACTGTGATTATTTATTTTTCTTAATCTCTTACAGGGATCCTTATGAAAATCCAAGTAAATTAAATTAGACTGACTGTCACTTTTATCTACTATTTGAACTTCCTGAAATAATCCTAAAGCATGAGAGATAGTATCTCTTGTAGAAGCTGATTTCATTTGACCATTATAGATATTGCTATAAAATATGGCAGAGGTATATTACTCTTAGAAAGGGCTTACTCAGCAGCCTCATCTAAGATTTTTCTTAACTTTTTTTTAATTGATAAAACTCATTAGCAAATTTTCAACATAGGTGCAGCTGTGGCTGCAATCTCCACTATTTCATAAAATACCATCCAATGTTGATGGCTTATTACAGGTGAGCTTATCCCCATGACTAGTTCCTCACAGACTTGAACTTCCAACACCACCACACTTAGAGTGCTGTCGGATTATACAGTTCCTCTTAATTCTATACAGCAAAGATTGATACATTAATCTAGCTACTACTTACTACTCTGTTTCCTCCTTTTTGCTAGAGAAGACCTGAGATACGGGTGCAAACCTCTAGCTGATGGTGAAGTTGAAGACATCTTGATTGCTTAGCTATTTGTTCTTCTCATCCCCTTGTTTGGGGTCCCCCCTCCATTTCCAACGCACATGGCATAGTTTGTATTGGAGCCTGAACAACAGACCAGAACACTCTTGAATAGTAACTTGTGCATTACAAAGTCCAGAGTAACTTCTAAATACTAATTTCCTAGGAGACAAATGGTATCAGCTCATGGGTTTTGTGTACATTGGTGAAAGAATATTTCAAACTGTACCCTAATCAACTAGTTAATTTTCTACCGCACCAGTTCCACTACAGTCTAGCCCCCTCCCCGGGCAGTATAAAATCACCTTATTTCCTGTGATTATAGTGTACAATGATCCACTGTATAATATTTCACATAAAGATATTTTAATTCACAACTATGTACAGGTTCATATTCATGTAAGGAATATCATACAACTGATATTTTCTAAAATACCTAGCATTTTTTATTTACAGTACACTGTTTCATTACTGATAACATTAAGTAAAACACCAATAGTAATGACTAGTAGACATCAATAGACATTTTTGTAAATCACAAGAATACATTATGCAGACTATCTTAAATTTGACTGTTCAAGAAATTATTAAATTGACATGGTTACATATTAATAAATAAATTTATTTAGAAATCAGTAGTTTTTAAACAATTCATAAATGTGCATTGTGCAATTTACAAGTCCTAAAGATCCGGTGAATGCTAAAGGCTTGTACAGTGACAAATTGGCAATTTCTTTTAATTAAATTAAATGGCAAACTTGAAATAACCATATCTTAAGGGTCCATTTGATATTTCATTGCTCTACCTGTTTCACTGGAGGAGGTTCTAATTTTCGGGAGAGTGCAGTT